CGGTTTTTGAAAGACGCGAGAAAAATAGAGCTCGAGCGCGTGCGAGACGCTATAGAAAGACACGGTAGCGTAAAAGTAGACACCGCGTTCAACGGCGAGTTCGCGACGAAAGATAAACGTGCCATTAAGAGTATAAACACTAAGAACATTGAGATATACCGATACACCGATTTGCGCGAGTGATACGAGCGACACGTCATCGAGCCTACGCTGACGTCGCTCGAAGAGTTCCAAGAACGTGACAGCGGGTGGGCGCTATCGCGAATCCTCAACGTGACTGTTAGTGTGAACAAACTAAATCCCATGCGCGCGAGATGTCATGTCGAAGTGCCGTGGTAAATAATGAGGAAACGATCGGTGATCAGTGTGCGTACGACGGACAATGCGTGCTTCGCGTGGTCGGTGGTCGCCGCTCTGTACCCGGCTGAAAAGTATACGGAGCGAGAGTCATCGTATCCACATTACACTGCAGTATTGAATCTCGCGAGCATCGAATTTTCAATAATATTGAAAGACATTAACTAATTCGAACAATTGAACGACGTATAGATCAACGTGTGTAACATCGAGAATAAACGGTTCCTTCCTCTACGGCTCACCAGCGACAAGGAGGAGAAGCATGCCAACATGCTGTATCTGCAAGATCCACGCAACGACAGTGTCGGCCATTTTGCGTGGATAAAAAATCTGTCCCGTCTCGTGGGCTCGCAACTCTCGAAAAAGGAGCACAAGAAATTTTTCTGCGATCAGTAAGTACACATAAAAAATTATTATTTTCCGTCTTACTAATGAAATAATGGTAATAGTTATAATTTTTTTTGTTTTTTTTTTTCAGGTGCTTGCACTACTTCAGTACGAGCGCAAAGTTGCATTCGCACACAATGGATTGCAGGAAAATAAACGATTGTGCTATCCGACTGCCGAGTGAGGACGACAAATGGCTCGAATTTGGAAACTATAATAACAAGGAACGTATTCCATTCATCGTCTACACCAACTTGGAGTGCGTTCTACAGAAGACGGAGCCCGACAAGGAAGATGCGTCGTATACATATCAGCGGCACAAAGTATGCAGTGTGGGCTACTACATGCGTTGCTCGAATGACAACTCGTTATCGTCGTATCAGTTCCGTCGCGATAAAGACTGTATATCATGGTTCCCGCGACAACTCAACGATTTGGCGCATCGCGTAAAAGATATTATATCCGCCAACGTGCCCATGGAAGTGCTGTCTAAACAGCAATGGGAGACATACCGTAGCGCGACGCGTTGTCACATCTGTGAGAAACCGTTCGCGCCAGACGATACGCGTACCCGCGATCATTGCCACTTAACCGGTAAATTCCGTGGTCCAGCACATTCGAACTATGTGTGTGTAATCTTAATTATAAAAATTCATATAAATATAATAAAACTCTCGAAATTGTCAAATAAAACATAAACAAGGGCTAATGAGAGTATAGTCGCTGTAAGTTTTGCGATGAATAAGTTTATTAATTATTAAATTCCATACGTTTCGGCATCCATTCGAGCCATCATCAGTGCATCTTAGCCTTTACACTAATATTAATTATTGACCATTACTTGGCTCCACGAGAGTGGTCACTCCTTCCATCAACATCAATACGTGACAAAAGATTGGAAAAACAATTGGCAACGTTCGAGGATGTAGTTCCGTAAAGCCAAGAACAATCAGTAATACTTATGTATAATGTATAACATTTCCATTAATTAAATTATAACAAACATCCGCAGTCAATATACAATAAATTTCAAAATATCAGATCTAATTAAACCGTCAATTATGGATACGTGGTACATTTTT